GCCACGTTCTCGCGTCGGCCGGGGTCGAGCCTCTACACCCTGACCACTGAGTCTCCTCCTGTCCCTGCGTCCGGTCAGGTAGCAGCGTCAGGTCAGGTGTTTGCTGCTGCGTCTAGGTCTGGTCCTGAGTCTGCCCCCTGTTCGTGTCGCCTCCTGTCTCACGAGACTCTCCTGTGGCACCACCGTCTTGGCCACCCCTCCTTGCCCCGTCTTCGGGGCATGGCTTCCCGTGTCCTTGTCTCTGGTCTTCCCCAGTCTCTCCCTCCCCTTCCTTCGGGACCAGGACCTTCCTGTGTCCCCTGTGTCGAGGGGCGCCTCAGGGCTGCTCCTCACTCCTCCCAATTTCCCCCGACAGAGGCTCCTCTGCAGACACTTCACATGGACGTGTGGGGCCCGGCCCCCGTCCGTGGGCAGGGTCATGAGCGCTACTTCCTGTTGGTGGTTGACGACTACTCGCGTTACACCACAGTCTTCCCCTTGCGCAGCAAGGGTGCTGTCACTGAGGTTCTGATCGACTGGATCCGCGAGGCTCGTCTCCAGCTCAGGAGGAGCTTCGGCTCGGACTTTCCTGTTCTGCGTCTGCACTCTGACCGAGGTGGGGAGTTCTCCTCTCGCCTTCTGCGAGACTACTGTCGTGCACAGGGGATCCGCCAGACCTTTACGCTTCCGGACTCTCCACAGCAAAATGGGATTGCTGAGCGCCGCATTGGCATGGTCATGGATGTCGCTCGTACGTCCATGATGCATGCGGCTGCCCCCCATTTTCTGTGGCCGTTTGCGGTTCGGTACGCGGCGCATCAGCTCAACCTTCACCTCAGGGTCTCTCGGCCCGCGATGTCCCCAGTGTTACTGTGGACGGGGAAGGTCGGCGATGCGTCTGCGTTCCGTGTCTGGGGATCTCGGGCGTTTGTCCGCGACTTGTCTGCGGACAAGCTGTCCCCCCGTGCTGCTCCCTGTGTCTTCCTTGGCTTCCCCCCTGACACTCCAGGGTGGCAGTTCTACCACCCCTCCTCTCGTCGTGTTCTGTCCTCCCAGGATGTCACGTTCGACGAGTCAGTCCCCTTCTACCGCCTCTTCCCCTACCGTACTCCTTCCCTCCCCCCCCCACCGGACTTCCTGGTGCCAGTTCCCCCCCCGGTAGACCCCCTCCCCCCTCAGGTTCCTGCCCCTTCAGGTGTGTCCCAGGTAGACACAGTCGAGCCAGTCGAGGTTGCTGCAGAGTCTGGTCCTGCTGCGGGTGCAGAGTCTGGGGGTGCTACGCCTGCGGGTGCTGAGCTTGGGGGTGCTGCTGCTGGGGGTGCTGAGCCTGGGGGTGCGAGGCCGGGGGGTGCTGAGCTTGGGGGTGCTGCTGCTGGGGGTGCTGAGCCGGGGGGTGCTACGTCAGGAGCTGCTGAGCCTTGGGGTGCTGAGCCTGCGACTGCTGGACCTGGGGGCTCTCCGGTTGCTCCGTCTCGGCGGGAGCCGCTCTCTCCACAGGAGCTGCGCGACTGGTTTGCTCGCCGCTGGAGGCGTGCTGCTGGAGCTGGAGCTCCTTCGACTGCTGAGGGTGCTGGTGCTGCCGGTCCCGGAGCTGCTGGGCCTGCGGGTCCTACTGGAGCTGGAGCTGCTGAGCCTGGGGGTGCTGAGTCTGGAGCTGCTGAGCCTTGGGGTGCTGAGTCTGGAGCTGCTGAGCCTGGGGGTGCTACGTCTGGAGCCGCTGAGCCTGGGGTTTCTCCTGGTGCTGCGTCTCGGCGGGAGCCCCTCTCTCCACAGGAGCTGCGCGAGTGGTTTGCTCGCCGCTCGAGGCGTACTGCTGGAGCTGGAGCTTCTACGACCGTCGAGGGTGCTGGTGCCGCCGGTCCCGGAGGTGCTACGCCTGCGGGTCCTACTGGAGCTGGGGCTGCTTAGGGCGTTGGTGCTGAGTCTGCTGCTGTCTGTCCTGACGGTGGTTCTGCTGCTGGTACTGCTGGAGGTACTGCCGCTGGAGGTGTTGGTGGCGCTGGTGCTGCCGCTGAGGGTGCTGGTGCTGTCCCTGCTGAGTCTGGAGCTGCCGCGCGGCCTCGGCCGTACTTCGTTCCGCTTCTGCAGCAGGTTCTTGGTCTTTCTCCTCCGGTAGAGTGTCCACAGCCTGTCCAGTCGCAGTCACTGTTGGAGCCTACCTCCCCACTGCCTGCTCCCTCTCCTTACACTGGTCCTACTGGAGGTCTTGCTGAGCGTCGTGAGCCTGCGTCTCGTCCCGCGTCACCAGTTCGTGCTGCCCGCGCTAGTGGTCGTGGTTCGCGTCCGCGTCCTCCTCCTGTCCCTGGCACGCACCGGATGTCTCTGCGTCCGTCCACTGCTCCTCTGCGTGCCCTTTTGCCTTCTCCTCCTGAGTCCTCTCTTCCTGTGCTTACCGACCCAGAGTCGGACTCCCTTCGTGCTGCCAGTCCTACTGTCACGCGTCTGCTTGCTACTATCGTCACTGACCCCTCTTTTGAGTCCGCTGCTGCGTCTGCTCTTGTCGCTGAGCTCGTCGACTTTGCTGCTCGCTGTCGTCTAGACTACGCTGCTAGTCTTGTTGCTGAGTCTGCGTTTGTCTGTCCTCCGTCCGTCGGGGGTGAGTGTGCTCTTGGCACGGACGTCCTAGAGGACAGGCAGGAGGAGTTCCAGTGTCTGGCTGCTGCTTCACCTCATCTCGCGTCTGTACTGCTTGCTCCTGAGGGAGACCCGGATGCACTATACATCCCGACTCCGCGCTCTTACGCGGAGGCCGTAGAGGGTCCCTACTCCTCTCAGTGGCAGGCAGCTATGGATGCAGAGATGGCTTCCTGGAAGTCCACAGGCACCTACGTTGACGCGGTTCCCCCTCCTGGGGCGAACATCGTCAGTGGCATGTGGATCTTCAGGGTGAAGCGGCCGCCGGGCTCTCCACCTGTCTTCAAGGCGCGGTACGTCGCTCGTGGCTTCAGTCAGCGGCAGGGAGTTGACTACTTTCAGACCTTCTCTCCCACCCCGAAGATGACCACTCTTCGGGTGCTGCTGCACATAGCCGCTCAGCGCGACTACGAGCTTCACTCTCTCGACTTCAGTACTGCGTTCTTGCAGGGGAGCTTGCACGAGGAGATCTGGCTGCGCCGTCCACCTGGCTTCACTGGGACTTTCCCTCCTGGCACCCAGTGGAGCCTCCGACGGCCAGTCTACGGTCTCCGCCAGGCACCACGTGAGTGGCACGACACACTGAGGACTACGCTTGCGGCCCTTGGGTTTGCTCCTTCTACTGCTGACCCGTCGCTGTTTCTGCGCACCGACACTTCACTGCCGCCGTTCTACATCCTCGTGTACGTCGACGACTTGGTCTTTGCCACAGCGTACACTGCTGGACTCACCTACGTGAAGTCCGAGCTGCTGAAGAGACACACGTGCACAGACCTGGGTGAACTGCGCAGCTACCTTGGCTTGCGGATCACTCGGGACAGAGCACGCCGCACCATTACCTTGACTCAGTCACACATGGTGCAGCAGGTCCTTCAGCGCTTCGGCTTCACGTACTCCTCGCCTCAGGCCACTCCTCTGTCTACTCGTCACTCGCTCTCAGCTCTGCCTTCGGATGAGTCCGTAGAGTCGAGTGGCCCGTACCCAGAGCTTGTTGGCTGCCTCATGTACCTGATGACCTGCACACGACCTTACCTTGCATACCCTCTTAGCATTCTTGCACGCTATGTTGCTCCTGGGAGACACCGACCAGAGCACATGGCTGCAGCGAAGAGGGTATTGCGCTACCTGTGCAGTACGTCGGGCATGGGGCTAGTGCTTGGAGGGCGGAGTCCAGTGGTACTTACAGGTCACGCGGACGCTTCTTGGGCTGACGACCAGGCTACGCAGCGGTCGTCACAGGGTTACACCTTCAGCCTTGGCTCCGGCTCTGTCTCGTGGCGGGCTACTCGCTCGTCTTCGGTTCTCAGCTCGAGTTGTGAGGCTGAGATCTACGCAGGGGCCATGGCTGCACAGGAGCTTCGCTGGCTCACCTACCTGCTGACTGACCTTGGAGAGCCGCCTCGTTCTCCTCCAGTGCTGTACGTAGACAACAAGGCCATGCTGGCCTTGTGTCGAGAGCAGCGTCTGGAGCACAGAACGAAGCACATTGCTCTTCGCTACTTCCTTGCTCGTGAGCTGCAGCAGCGTGGACAGTTGCGGCTTGCGTACGTGGCCTCTGAGGCCAACACTGTTGATGTGTTCACCAAGGCACTCGCGCCTTGTGACCATCAGCGCTTCTGCACCCAGCTGGGTCTTGTGCCTGTCTTGCCTCACTTGCTCTCCTCTTGACTTTACTTGTACTGTCACATATATATACCTACTCTTGCTTGTCTAGCTTTATATATATATGTGTGTACTCCTGCATGTGAACTGGCCTTGTGGCCTTGCTATTGTGCTCGGACTGTGTGGTGACTTTGTGATCCACCCTGAGCTTTGCTTTGCTTTGCTTGACTGGTCTTGTGACCCCTTGTTCTCCCCCACTTTGCCTATGGGGGTGTGTCAGAACATATATGTAGCTTATGCTGTTGTGTAGGCTACAGTGGGGTATCCCATAGGGGGTACAACCCAATTAGGGTTTTGCTATTTTTGTACTCACTTCACTCATAGTTCATTCATTCTCGTTCTATTTTCCACAAAAAGTAACACAATATATTCGATATGCACAACCACAAACAAAACACCCGTCGAAACAACGCAATCTCACCCGTGAAAGTCGGGGTCGAGGTGCAAGGTGCAGATGTGGACGGGACCGCGAACCCGCACGGCACGTTGACGTGTGCCGCGCCACCACCGTCGACGGCGTGCGGGTTGCCGATCGCCTCGTTGTTCTGGTAGAGCTCCATGTACGGGTACCACGGGGGCTTGCACACCGCCCCCTTGCCGCTCGCCCGCTCCCCCTTACTAATTTGCTTGTACATGTTGACGAGGTTGCGCCACTGCTTCTGCAGCGCATTCACGCCGCGCACCCACCCGGGATTCTCCTGTTCAAGATGGCGCGCGAGGCAGGCCTAGTACTGGGATCCCTGCTTCGCGAGGAGTTTCCCGAGCTTGTCCTTCATGAACCAACGTGCCGCCACGAAGATCGTGCTCTCGCGGTGGGACCACACGCTCCGCTTGACAGGGTGCAGGTTGCGGTTCTTGGCAGCGGCACGCGGAGGTTCCCCGCCCTTCGCGGCAGTATTGGTTCCGGCCGCGGCAGTAGCATGGGAGCGACGGGGAGACGGGGTCGCAGGCTGGGCCTCGTCGGGCACGTCCTCGTCGTCGTCGGCGTCCTCATCGGCATCGTCTTCATCTCCGGAGGGGGGCATGCCCTTGTCCTCCTCTTCGCTAGAGTCCGCATCGTCGTCGCAGTCGTTGTACTCAGAGTCCTCGGCATCGTCATCGAATGCGTCGTCTTCAACGACGCGGGATGATGCAACCCGGTCGGCATCACGGCGCCCACGGGTAGGGACATCGCGCGGGGCTTTGAACAAGGTGTCCCCCGCACCCGGCGCACCATCGGGCAAAGGGCCGGCGGGCTTACGGCCGGCATCAATCTGCTTGTTCATCCAAGCGATGTACGGGATCTCGTTGAGATCCCGCGGGCACAGCTCGGCACTACTAGCTACGCTCTTGCGCTTACGGGCCATGGCTACGGTGTGGAAGAAAATGCAAGAAACACGAAGTAGAGAGCTGGGGTTTGGAGTACAAGAATAGAATGGAACGGGAGGGAGTTGTCACCCTGGTTGGAACGGATTGCGCAGCATGGCAGGGATGTGACCATGTGGTTACATCCACCACTCAGCTGTCAGCCCGGGCAGAGCGGTTTCCTTTCCCGCCCGAAATTTGCCCATTTCGGGCGTTCAGGTGCATGCTGTACAGTGTGACATTTCGACACGCGTGCGATTTTTAGGAGGTGACGGGGCCTCGTGTAACTCGTCCGCGACACCCGCGCAATTCACGCCAACTAATGTAAAATACAGTGAGGATCGCATTACTGTGGTCCGCGTTTGTGACACAGTACGTTATATGCATTCTTTGCGAGTCACAAAGTGTTTCAGAAACAAGTGTCTCCACAGGAATGTACCCTACGTGCTGCTGCTGACATAGTATTCTGGTCCTATCCCATCTCAGGCTACCTGGCAGTGGGTGCATTTGGGGTGTTAATAGGACAGCTGCTGATGCGAGAACATAACATATGTTCAAAGATAAGGTGAGGCCCCAAACAAATTCATTACCATAGAAACTTTCTCCAGACTTGGATGCAACGCAAAGTGCAGGCTCATGGAAAAAGAAGTAACAAAAACAATCAGGTTGCAATCAGCACACCACATAGTACGAGGGTACAAACTTCAGTCCACTTCGGCCACCATCGAACTACATCTGCTCGTTGATGTTACCGACCTAATTCGATCAATCCGTTCATCCTCTGCCACCTCATCTGGACTGTACACCCACTTGCGACGGTCGTGGCGGATACGGGGAGTTGACTGTAGCAACCGAGGATACACACACAGACACTCACATGCACAAAGGGGTACGCATAAGGTTGAACATTTTTAGCAGGTATTGCATGGACAAGCACATTCGACATATACCTGGAGCAATCAAGTTGGGTGTGGTATGTGTGACACAGATACAACATATGGATGGGACTATGAAAGATGGGCGCATAGGATGGAGAGGGTGAGAGAATGACAGCAAATTGAGATCATGCATTGCAACTGGGCGAGTAGGGGTAGAGGGAGACAACAGAACTAGAGAGGTGTGAAGAACTGTAATGACAGTTATGTAGCAGTTACAGAGGCAAGGTAAGGGGATGGATGGAGAAGGGGAGGAGAGGAGAGGAGAGGAGAGGAGAGGAGAGGAGAGGAGAGGAGAGGAGAGGAGAGGAGAGGAGAGGAGAGGAGAGGAGCAGGGGCTGGAGTACCCTTTTAGGACCCCAGTGGGCCAATGAGCTTCTGCCACGTGGAGGGTACATGTCCCACCCACTCACTGCAGAGCTGCTCTCTGAAGGCTGCTCCCTGCCCTCTGTGGGATGGCAGTAAGGGGGGGAGCAGTGAGAGTGAGGGGGAGTAAGGGAAATGCAAGAGATGAGAGAATGCAAGAGAGGGGGGAATGCAAGAGAGGGAAATGCGGGCCCACCCAGTCAATGCAGAGATGCTGACTGAAGGCTGCTCCTTGCCATCTGTGATGGAAGGGGGGAGCAGTGAGAGTGATGGAAATGACCGAGAGGAACGTGTGAGAAAGGGAAATGCGATGCGACAGGGCATGTGAAGGGGGGATGAACATCCAATCAAGTTGCACAGGCACCCTCACCTTTCACCCTGCTTCAATGCACACTCACCTTTCACAACTGCCCTCATCATAAGAGGTCTTCTCGCTTTCTGTACACGCATTTCGAGGAGGGAGGGAAGGGGCCGCAAGAAAGAGGAGGGAGGGGGAGAGAGGAGTGGGATGTGGGGACAGGACGACGGATGGAGGGAGGCTAGAGAGTCAAGACAGCAGAAGAAAAGCATGGTGTCAGCAACAGGTAAACTGAGTGACGGCAGCATTGTGTGAAAAATGTGTGACAAAGCTGCACTTGAGGCACAACGGGGCGTTACTCACCTGTCTTGGCTTGCCACTTGCCCTTCCACCCCGGGTCCAAGTCATGCTGCTATTCACCTCCTCTTCCCCATCATCGTCTTCCTCCTCCTTTTCTTCCTCATACTTCCCCCCCTCCACATTCCCACCACCACAACCGCCACCAACACATGAGCTCTCCCAATACCCCGCAGAAGCTGACAGCCAATCAGGTTGCGACACGTGGTTCGAACACGAAACCGGATTCCCTCGAAACACCCTGGGTGCTTCAAACATATTTCTCCCACCAGGCCCCTCTGACACGCACTGGTTAATCCTCTTGATTTTCTGACTGGGCTTTTCCGAAGCTAAATTAAGATATTCCGCCAGTGGGTCTGGCGCTGTGGGGACACAGTCACTGATAGTAGCCGGCTCACAGGCAGAGGATGAAACAGGTGGAACGGATGGAATGGGACGGAGTTCCATAACGCCTCTGGGACTTGGTACTGATGATGGAATGCAGCCAGGGGGCGGACTCAACGTCTTTTGAGATGGCTCACGACCTGGCACTGATGATGCAATGCGGTCAGAGGATGGACTTGTCAGTCTCTCCTTTCCCTCAGGTGCTGTCGACACGTTGAAGAAGTTGCGTGGCAGAATAGTGAGGTTACCAGTTTCAGAAAGTGTTGCTTGGGGATTCGCCCTCAAGCCATTGCTTTTTCCAAGCACCCCTCTCTCCTGGACGAGATACGGCTCCTGCTGACTACAGCTGAACAGACCGCCAGAGCCATCCCAAGCCGCGAATTTGCTGGTCCCGTCTCCTCTCATTCCGTTCCCTTTAGAATCATCATTTTCTTTCCCGTCCTCGGCGTCTTTGGAATCTGGAAAATCCTTATGAAGCAGCTGCGTCCAGTGTCTATTTTCAGCCGACTCTACGTTTTCCTGCCGACGCTCATGATGCTTTCGATGCTTCAGTTCCTTTTGATGCGGCTGTTTCTTCTGATTCTCATGGTGCTCAGAACGATTCTGCATCGCAGAGCATCCAGTCTCTGAAAGAACAACGCTACAGGGTCCCATCTGTACAGGGAGGTCATCGACAGAGGCAGAGTTCACAACTGGTTTCGTACTCATTCCGCTTTCTCTAAGATCAACTCTTCTCACTTCGTCTCCTGTCATTCCGTCTCCTCTCCTACCGTCTGTTCTCCTTCCTTCTCCAGAAATCCAGAACCGCCGGCCGCTGAAAATTCCTCCACTGAAGCCCATACCGCTGCTGATGCTGCTGCGCCTTCTGTTCCGCTTTGGGATGTTATCCCTCTGGGATCCGCCGGTGGTGTTTTTTGCCTCGAACAATCCATCCGGGCCTTGCTCTGCTAGGGATTCTGTGGAATTTCGAGCAGGAAGCGATTTTTGCCACGGTAACCACATGCTGAGGTTTTCGCCAAAAGCAACTCGTGGTACGTTGTGAGGAACGACGGACACGCAATGCGGGGAGAAATCTCAATGTTGCAGCACGGCGATCTATGGATGTCTGCTATGCTGCCATAATCAGAAGACACGCGACGATCAAGACGCTGACGCTCCTGGTGGCCGTGCGTACTGAGACTGGGGGGGAAGCATCGTTGCTTGATGTATGAAGATTGGTTTTGAGACGTCTCAAAGCCCTGCGTACTGAGAGCGGGGGGGAAGCATCGTGGCTTGAGGTTGCTACGGCCACACTCCCGCTCTAGTCGCTGTTAATCGTGTATTGTAAGAGCTACGATGTATTGTGCAGAAAACGGTACGGTCGACTGTGGACCCACTAGTTACTTGCATCTGCAGTAGATAATTGCGCAATACAATTAGCGAGATGCAGTAGCCATCACTAAGCAGCATCGCTTCCAAATTTGCACGCTACTTAGCAGTACGGATGAATATTCTGGAAAATGGTCTACGAGTTCTAACTACATCGGTGCCACACCACGCCAGACAGACCGTCTGGTCTGGTGTGGGAGGGAGGGAAGATTTTGAAACGGAGAGCTCGAGAGAAAGGAAGGCTGGCGTTTTGGCGGGAAGCACAACCGTTCTGACAGACCTGCGGGTATACGCGGTAGTGTGAGTTATCTGGGAGAAAATATTCTAGGTACTAATAACGGACGCTCACTTTGTCTAGTGGGCAAAAACCATAACATGGAAATGATATCTACTTTATTGTTCACTATAAAAAGTAAAGGTACACAGAGAAAACATTTCTTACAAGCATAGAAAGAAAAAGTACCAAGCCTTTTATGGTCATTTGTTCTCAACCTCCAGGGCCAGAGCATGCATCTTTGTCAGCACGGGCACCACCTCTCCAGCCAAACTGGGTCTCTTGCACCTCCTCATATCCGTGCACTTAGCTGCCAGATCAGCCACCTCCATTGCCACATCAGCAGGCCATCCCCCAGCCCCCTCATCCAAAACTTCCTCCAGCTCCTTGTTCCCTTCCACCACTCCAGTCACCACGCTCAGCGCTGACGTGGCATTGCGTCCAGTCAGCAACTGCATGAGCACCACTCCCAGCGCATACACGTCAGAAGACGGGACCAGCTCCTCAGTTCTTGGATATTCCGGATCCAGAAAAACCACATCTTCCACTCTCGCCCTCCCAGTCCTCTGGTTCTGATTCAGAGCTGAGAAGCCAACACGAGCCAGCTTGCTCACCAACCTGCGCCCAGAAAGATTCGAACCGGAGACTTCTGCCGGTGCTGCAGCCTTTGCTCCATCCTCCCTCTGAAACCTGGGCCACCACAAAGGGGCCCTTAGAGTCATACCAGCATCCCCCCTCTCTCCCACCACCCCTTCATCGCACCCGCTTCCATCCTTCCCCCGCCCGGCCTTCTCCTCACAGAAAAGGACGATGTTTGCCGGCCGGAGATCCCGATGGAGCACCGGGTGCGGCTGCTGCTGGTGCAGGAACAGCAGAGCGGCCGACACCTCATAAGCAATCCGCACCCGGACAAACCACGGGAGAGGCGGTAACCGCGCCACGCGGTTACCATACGGCAGGTGATCGGCGAGAGATACGTGAGGGATACGCGGGTAAACCAGACAGGGGGATTCAAGGGAGTAGCCAAGGAGGGGGATGATGTGGGGGTGGGAGAGGGAGGAGAGGGTTTCAGTCTCCTTGATCAGCTGTAGCATGGGCGTGGCCTTGCTGTGTTGGTCCAGCACCTCTATAGTAACACCCTGTAGCGGAACACCTCCAGCAGAATTGGGTGGTAACCGCATGGAGGCATCGACGCGACCAGAGCAGCCCTCCAGACCCCCGGGAAGGGCTGAGAGGATGTCGTGTCGAGAGAACACCACACAGGTGGGATGTGCAGGCGCTGCACTGGCTTCCGCAGCAGCAGCAGGTACAGCATTGTCAGAAGCAGCAGCGTCCCCATCGTTAGGAGCAGGAGGATCATGCGAACAGATGGCCGGGGTGATGATGTTACCATCCAAACCAGAACCAGCAGCACCAGCAGCACCAGAAGAACCTCCAGCACCATCAGCACCAGCACCAACACCATCAGAAGCATCATCATCAGCAGCAGCACCGGCCTCAAGAGCACGGCTGCATGCATTCAGCACAGCAATCATGCCATCCGCCACACTCGCCATCGAGGAACCTTCCACCAACTTGCTGAGCACACTGGGCTTCACGTCCAGTTGCTGCAAGTCCAGATCAAGCCCCTTCTTTAAAGCCTGCAGCTGACTTATCTCCCCCTCCAAATACACCTCCCCCTCTTCCTTCCCCTCCTTCCCTTCCTTCCCTTCCTTCCCTCTCCACTGAAGCTCCTTCCTCTCCCCCTTCCAACGTGCTTCTTTCTTCACCTGCCCGTGCACGTCGGGTATGCTATACTCGAACCCGACTGCCCGGAAAACCTCTATGACAGTGCTCGACATGCTTCCAGGCAGCTCGAAAGTTTTCCGGCTGCCCTTTTCGCAGAGGCTCATCAGCTCTCTCTTCAGCTGATTGGCCGCTTTGGTGTTCGCATCCAGTTCGCTGCCGTCAATCGAGAACAAAACTTTCTTCTGCCCGGCCTCTGCAGCTGGAGGTGCCTCAGAATCACCATCCACAGGTGGCTCCACAGCTTCAGGTGAAACCTCAGGTGCTGCTTTAGAATGCTGCATCTTTGCAGCGCCATCACTTCCCTTAAGCTTCAGTGATCCCTCCTCTCCTCCCTCCCCTCCTTCACTCACCCCTCCCAGAGCCAACACGAGCGCCAGCAATCCCTCCTGTGCCTTCCGCACTCCCTCACTCACTCCCACTGCCACCTTTCCTTCCTCCAGTGCCTCCTCCATGCCCCTCACTTCCCTCCTCCCTTCCTCATCCATCCTCTCTACAAGCGCCTTCGGCAGCCTCTTTACAGCCTGCCTCCACACGGCTTTCATCCCGCCCTCTATAATCACACTCAAGTCGTGGAACTTAACTAAAAGCATCAGTGGCGAGGCAGACAAGGAAGTTGCGAGGAAGATTCCGGGCGCCAGCTCATCGCTGACTGCGCCGCCCACCGCGTGCAGCCAGAGCAGGGCGGCAGGCTCGTCCGCTAGTGCCACGTCAGTAACCTGCGTAACCAGATTGAAGACGCGGGAAGTTGCAGTCTCAACAGGAGCAAATCCTTGCATCTTCCCCCGAAGCTTCCTCGCTGCCTCCACCAGCTCACCCAGCTTCTTGGAAACTTCCGCAGCCAGCATCCCCACCTCACTCTCCCCTCGTGCTTTCAAACACAACTCCTCACTCTCACCCTCTTCTCCCTCCTCCCCATCCTCCCACTCCTCCTCGTCCTCGTTCCCCTCCTCCACCTCCTCACCCACCACCTCCTCCTCCTCTGCCCGCGCCTCGGGAGTATCCCAATAGGAATCAGGCAAGGCTCGGGCCCAGGACGGGGGGCGCAGCCAATACGGCCTCTGCTGCTCCCCGCTCGCTTCATTCCCGGCCTTCTTCCCCGCTCTTTCACCAACAGCAGGAGCATCAGAAGCAGCAGAACCAGCAGGAGCGGTAGAAGCGGTGGGGGCAGTGGTGACGGCAGCAGTGGTGGTGGTGGTAAGAGCAGTAGCAGCAGCAGTAGATTCTCGGCCTTCCACCTCCGGCAGCAGAAGAAGCTTCCTCCCACTGATGTTCCCCACGTGCCGAACCAGCCGATCCTCCAGCAGACGTTTGGCGGCAGCCATGGCGAGCATCGCCAGAGGCTCGGCAACAGGTTCGGCAGCTCCCGAACCTGCTGCGGTTACAGAAACGGACGAAGTGACTTGAACTGTGGATGACACTTGTCCAGATGCTGATGTAACCTGAGTGGCTGACGTGGACGAGGATGACGTGGCAGCCAGGAGAGAGGGGAGTGCCGGTGCTGGCGCTGATGATGTCCCTGCAGCAGGGGATGACACTGACGTGGCAGAAAGGGATTGGGACGGAGGGTGAGGCATGGAGGCGAGCCATTGGTTCAGCATCTGCATGCGGGAGAGCATCATAGGGGGGATTCTTCCAGGGGAATTCTCAGGTGATTTCTCAGGTGTTTTTCCAGGAGAATTCTTGGGAGAGCCTCCGCGCGCTGCTGCTGGCGCAAGCGCCAGCGCAGGTGGAACCAGATTCTCGGGCAGAGACGGCATCAGCGACCACACGTTCCCTCCCCCTCCTCCTCCTCCCCCCCCACCTGAGTATCCCCCCCCTCCTCCCCCATACCCTCCGCCCCCATTCCCCCGATACCCGCTCTCCCCGCCGCTCCCCCCACCCCCTCCCCCAAACGCTCCCCCCGTCCCAGAGCTTCCCCCTGAATACGCTCCTCCCCCTCCGCTTCCCGCTCCCCCTCCCCCGCCTCCCTGGTTTCCCCCGCCGCTCCCGCTCGACCCGCCGCCAGCCGCCGCGGCCGCCGCCGCCGCAGCAGCTCGCGCCTTCGCCTCTTCCTCCTCTTCCCTCGTCATAGGCCCCTCTCTCACGACTTTACACACGACCCACACGGGAAACCCGCTCCTCTTGTCTTCGTACATTTCCAAATCCGATTTTAGAGTGTATTCATACATCTTCCACTTCTCCTTCTCCCCCGCCGGCCCCTCCCGCGTCCCGGGCAGCTTGAAACGAAACATCCGTCGCTCGGGCCGGAAAAGAAGAGCCCCTCCCATCACCGCTCCCGCAACTCCGCCCACTCCGCCCGCGCACACTCCCCCCGCACCCACGGAAGCGCCAAGGCTCGGCGCAAGATCCGCGAACGGCGTGGGCTGGCACGACTCCTTCCAGCAGGGCGGCTTCGGGTCGGACGGCGCCATATCCGCCTCTCTCCGCCTGCGGCGCTCGTTCGGCCGCCATTCCGGTCTAACGAAAAAGAACCCCGTCAAGCCCTTGCCGTCCGGGGAGACGTCTAATCCGGGAAGGTGCCACGGCCTGGGGAACTTAAGGAGCTCGATTTCGGGGATTAGTCCGTCGCAGTCCGCGACGCGTCTTAATCTCTGGACTAGGAGGCGGTCTAGGCCCACGTCTTCTACCTCGCCGCGAACCTTCCGCGAAAGGTACTGAAAGACCTCCGCGTCGACGGGCGCGAAGCGGATTCCGCGCGGAATCGGCGCGCAGCTGAGCGCCACGTGGATCTGACTCACTGCTTGCGAGAACGCCTCCTGCTTCGCGGCGCGAACGAGCGACTCTATCCCCGCGCGCTCCGCGGAGAGTTGCGCGCGCTCGGCGGAGAGCTGTCCCTTGTCCCCCGCGAGCTGGCGCGCGCGGGTTTCGAGCCCGCGCACGGTGCTCTCCAGCGCACGAACGCGGTCCTCGAGCGCGGACTTGTCCGCGGAAAGCTGGCGCATGGCCGCCTGGTTGCGCGCAACCTCCTCTCTGAGCACGTCGCGCTCCATCACAACCTTGCGCATCTCCGCCTCCGTGCGCGACATGTTGAGCAGCAGCGCCTGCTCCACGCTCAGGCGGCTTCCGCCGATAAGGTGGTTTCCGCCGCCGCCGAGGTGGGCGGAGTTTTGAGGCGCCTCGAACATTCCGCCGGGAACCAGCGACGTGCAGTTCTGGCCGCCGCCGTTGAAGCCTCCGCCGCCGTTTATGTTCGCGTTATTGTAGTTCCCGTTACTGTTGTTGAAATTGCTGCCTGTGAACGTGCCGGACACGTGGTTGACTACGGTTGAAACCGTGGTTGGCGGCGAGCCTCCCTGCCACGTGGTCGCCGGTGATAGGTCTTGGTGGTTGTCGTTGTGTTGCTGCTGCTGACTCAGCACCGGTTGCTGCTGATTCAGCACCGATTGCTGCTGATGCTGATGCGGCTGCTGCTGCTTCTGGAGCTGCTGCTGCAGCATCTGAAGCTGATGCTGCTGCAGAAAATATTGGCGGGAAACTTGCTCGTCCCTGCAAGCCATAATATTTCCGCCGCCAACAAACTGAAGTCCGTTTTCCGCGCAATACCCTCCGCCTCCGCCGCCGCCGCCAACGCTGCTTCCATCAGGAGTGGTAATTGATCCGTCTGGGATGAAATCTAGACCGTCCGATGAAAGGTCCGCGTCGCCTGTCAGGCAACCCGCCATTCCCGGCATCCCTGTCCCCATCATTGTCCCTCTTAAGGCCGCTTCGTCCGCGTCAAGAAACGCGATCGCGCGATGGATATCGTCCGCCGGCGCGGCTACTCCGCGCAGTTCGGGAAGCGTGTCTATAAATCTCATATCGATGTCCTCCATATCGGGTACTGGAATCTCCGCATAATCGAACTTCATAGGAGCAGCCATGGCTGTGGAAATACCTACCGATGCTTCTACTATTTCTTATCTGACTCACTTAGGTTCCTAACACCAGACCTGATTTCCGAACCTTCCAGAAGGTGCGTTTCACTTGTGCATTACAAAGCTGCTGGGTTGCAAGCAGCTTGGAGGGGAAGCGGTGATTCACACAGCGGTTACCTAGTGGTTAGCAAGAAGCAAGCTTGGGAAATAAGCGATGGGCCAGGCAGTCCAAGGGCCTGAACTGAAGGCCCACGGGAAAGGGTGAATCTGCTTCTGCAGCGAAGACGCGGGTGAGGTTTCCGGTTCAGAGTGACAAGAGCGGCCACACGACACGTGCTGTATGTATTTCGAGATTCGACAGCACAGCATGGCTGTGTGATGCGCGGGAAGCGCAGCACAGCGAGACATGAAACAGACGCTTGGAAGAGAAGCTCTCGAAGCACAGTAGCAGGCTCTACAAAGATGGTTGCTTGGAACAGAAGGTCGGGAGGGAAGCTTGCAAGATAGGCTGGGGAGGAATCAAGGGAATGCCACCAACTGACAAATCCGACCAGCCCGCCCTCCTCCAAGTCGTCGCGTGACTCGTCATGAGTCGCGTCGCTTGCCTTCTGATAGATGGAGTCACCGTGTCGCACCAGCACGCAGCTCGCACAAGATTCTTGAGGTGCAAAGTCTAAAAGACTGGGTTGTTCAGGATTCGGGATTCTCTAGAAGAGGGGCACGGCTGAAAATTACTCCTGCAAGCTCTTACGTTGGCCCCAGCAGCGGGTTTGATTCTGTGTACTGAGGATGTCGGGACATTGCGGGAAGTAGACCAGTTTTCATGATAACATTGACCAGGAACATTTTTCTAGGGAAGCCTTGAGGACATTCGGGTAGCTGCCCAGACCACAATTCCACCCACCTCCTGCTTCGCTTTTCGCAGAAGCTTGCAGTTGTGTAGCTCGTGTACGCGAAACTGGAAGCCTCGTTAAGTGAGAAATATACGACCTGCCTTAACGTGAAGGTACACTTTCTAGCAGTGAGAAGTAAAGCTTTGTTATGAGATGGGGTAACCAGGTTTTCTATGATATAAGGTCTAACAAAAATCAAGGGGTGATGGGAAATGTTTGGGTGAAAGACCCTCTGAGAGAGAGCTCCAATACGTTCTTTACTACAAACCTCAGTCAAGCGCTTCTGAACATACGATACAACCACAGCAAACAAAAAAAACCTGTGGTTCGTGTTGGGCTGAGAAAGGCCTTTAGGATCTTTGCAGGGGTGAACTCTGGGTAGGACTGATGTAGTAGCGGAAGCGTTTAATGAAGAGTTGTGAACCGCCTTGCGCTAGTATGTGAGGGCAAAGTAAGTTGATTAAAACAAAGAGGTACAAGATTATATATAAGAGTACAAGGAATATGAAGAGGTACAGTTATAACTGTTTTGCTGTTGCTGTTGCGGTTCGATACAGTGACGACTCGGGCAACTGCTTTGTAGTGAGTCAGTTGTGTGTCCTTGCTGTCGCGATGTACTTGTCAGGTCAAAGATCGCTGACCTTTGACTTTCGCATAACCTCCAACAGTTACTTTCAACCTCTGAGGGTTGACTCGCCGGTGCTTCGATATGCTTCGCTTCGTTTATGCCTTAGTGTTTCGACACGACATAGGCGCTTAAGATCGATTGTTTCCAACACTCCCCTTCGCTTCTGGAGTGTCGCTGCTGGTGACGTGGCTTTGTCCAGTCAGCAGCATGCAGTAGTTGAACTTCTGCTTTCCGAGCTTCTTTGTCAAGTAGTCAGCTGCCATCTCGGACGTGGGACAGTATGACAGCTCGAGCCTCCCTTTCTCGATCTCGTCCTTCACGAAGAAGTATCGCAGGGAGATGTGTTTCGTCCTGTTCGCGAAGCCGTTGCGAATTGCCGACTGGTTGTCGCAGAACAGAGTGAAGTTGGGTAACTGAGCTAGTTTCGCTTCTTCCAGCAGTTCGCAAAGGTAAAATCCTTCCTTGGTGGCTGAACAGAGTGCAATATATTCTGCTTTAGCTGATTAATTCCTGCTTGCTCGACTGCCAAGAGATAGGTCCGATAGGTTCGAGGCGGTAGATGTAGCCGGTGCGGGAGCGCCTGTTGTCAGAGTCGCCAGCGTGATCAGCGTCGACGTAGCCGATTAACTTAGGCAGTGTAGTTGCGTTCTTGTAGTAAGTAAAGCCGATCGTTGGAGTGCTAACGAGGTAGTGAAGAGCGCGGTCGAGTTCCGCCAGATGTTCTGCTTCGGGTTTCTTGAGGTAGGTGGCGAGCTGGCTTGCAGAGTACGATAGGTCCGGGCGGCAGGTGACAGCTGCGAAGAGGAGGCATCCCAGTTTCCTTTGGTAGTCGCGTATGCCGGCGTGCTTAAGTAGAGCGGAGCTTTCTCAGAACATCATAGCTTATGCATTTTGTGTAGGCTGTAGTGGGGTAGCCCATAATGTCAGAATCCCAACCACTAGACCATTGGGATAAAAGGGCTTGTTTCAGTAGCGGGTCAGTGCGCCCATAACCCCCCAGGCGAACGCGCCTGTAACCCTCTCCGGGATCAATCGGGCATCCACAGTGCAGATCTACTGACACACCCCCACACTGGGAGGCCCAGGACTAAGCACAGCGGCAACGGCCTACATGTGCATACACCGGGAATCGAACCCGAGACCGCTCTGATACCATGTCAGAATCCCAACCACTAGACCATTGGGATAAAAGGGCTTGTTTCAGTAGCGGGTCAGTGCGCCCATAACCCCCCAGGCGAACGCGCTTGTAACCCTCTCCGGGATCAATCGGGCATCCACAGTGCAGATCTACTGACACATAAGGGGTACAACCCAATTAGGGTTAGTACTTGTACCAAACTCTTGCATAGTCCAATTCATTCTCGTTCTAGTTTTCTCATGGTATCGAGCAGGTTCCCTCGTGGGAACTGTTCCTAGGGCCCACCGATTCGATTTTTTTTTTCCTGCCCGGAGCGCACTCACCCCTTGCCCGAGTCGCGCTCCCCTCTCTCGATCCCGTCGCGCCGCCCTAGCGGCTGCGTCGGGCCTCCCTTGCGGCCCCGATCCGCCGCCCTAGCGGCCCCGTCGCCTACCTCTGCGGCCCCGGCGCCGCCCTTCCCGGCCCCGATCAGCCGCCCTAGCGGCTCCGTCGCCTACCTCGCGGCCCCGGCGCCGCCCTTCCCGGCCCCGACGCTGCCCTTCCCGGCCCCGGCGTCGCCCTTCCCGGCCCCGATCCGCCGCCCTGCGACCCCGTCGCCTACCCCGCGGCCCTGGCGCCGCCCTTCCCGGCCCCGATCCGCTGCCCTGCGACCCCGTCGCCTACCCCACGGCCTTGGCGCCGCCCTTCCCGGCCCTGATCCGCCGCCCTGCGGCCCCGTCGCCTACCCCGCGGCCCCGACGCCGCCCTTCCCGACCCGTCCCCGCCTCTGCTGGCTCCGTCGCCTACCTGCCGCCCCGGCGCTCCCCTTCCCGGCCCCGTCGCCTACCTTTACGGCCCCGGCGCCGCCTCTGCCGGCCCCGCCGCCGTCCCCACGCGGCCCCGCCGTCACCACCGAGCCGCCGGCACCGCCGCCTTCTGCCGAGCCGCCCGCCACCCGAGCCGCCCGAGCCGCCGCCCCACGCCGAGCCGCCCGCCGCCCGAGCCGCCGCACCACGCCGAGCCGCCCGAGCTGCCGAGTCGCCGAGCCGCCCGAGCCGTCCGAGCCGCCCGAGCCGCCGTGTCGCCCGAGCCGCCGAGCTGCCTGTGCCGCCGAGTCGCCGAGCCGCAGTTGTTGCCGAGCCGCCGAGCCGCCCGAGCCGCCCTGTCCGGTAAGAGCAGCGCCTCTATCACTGCACTGCCCCTACCCTACTGTTCGCGCTGCTAGTCTACTGCAGTCATGGCTACCCCTAGTGTGCTCGCTTTTGACGCTGAGGGTCGGGCTATTGACTTTGACGTCTGGCTAGATGATCTGCGATAGGGCAGACGGTCTCTTCCTCTTTGACCTTACCTGTGGCGCCTCTCCTCCCCCTTCTGCTGATGCTGACGCCACTGTTCGCTCACAGTGGGCCACACGCAATGCTGCTGCACGTCTTGCTGTGCGTCGCCACCTGCCTACCTCTGAGCGTGCGCATTTTAGCCAGTACAAGCGTGCTCAGACCTTGTACGACGCTGTAGTTGCGTGCACCTACGTCCTACGCACTAGCGACCGCGCGCGTGAGCAGTGCGGGGGTGCGCACTCCACCCAGCGCTGCTTTGGCCGCCTAACAGACGCTTGGCGTCACCAGTTCCCTGA